CTGATTTAATTCCATAACAACATTTCGTTTCATTTCGCATTGCCTAACAAAAGAGCTTCTTACACAACTTGGGCTCCAGTTTCGGCCTCGTCTCACCGTCTCTCTAATACTAACAAGGGGACTAGAATTCGGGTCTTGAGCATCATCGAGACACCGTTACTTCGATACACAGCCACGGGTACCAGTGGTCGATGTGACTCTGAAGGAAATCCGGGCCTCCCCATAATCACACCTGTAGTGCAATTGTAGATAAAGTAATTATTTATTTAACATTACATTCGATGACGATAGTTGTGTTAGGCTTAAGTGTGGTTAGAAATTATGACTAATTATTAAATGATATAAGCAGATTAGTGTCTGTTCTGGATCCGATTCTAGATAGGCTTACTAAAAGGATTTGAGCAAAATCAGATGTGCCTTTCTGTCAGGATGGAAATTCCCTTTTAAGGCATGAGGTAGGATGGAATATAATGCAAAAGTAAGCCATATTTTCATTTTTTTGTGAACATTTCGGAAGAAAACAAAACTTCGTCCTTGACGAGTTTGCAATACGAAAAGCTTTTCAAAGATAAAATGGGAGGACACTCCTGATCAAAGTGCAATTTTTTAGTGGAAACTCAAAAAATTAATGCTCCAAATTAAATATCAGAAAGGGTGCATTGTCTTCTTGATCTGTATTAAACCAGTGTATCACCTGCAACTTTGCTTTCACCACCTCTCTGTCGAAAGTGTCCAGGCACGTCAGGAACGCATGTTTCTAATGTCTGTTTATAAAGCCGTTAAATTTCTGTCTTTTGGGAATTCGTCCATCCGCGCCCTAAGTGATAACACATTTAGAGCTTATACTCTAACGGGTCTCACTATCATAGTATTTAAAGACGACCCGACTGCCAACCAAAAAGGTTAATACACTGTATCTTTACTGACCGTGCTGAGCTATTTGGTTGCTGAGTTAAATCAAAACAATGAGCAGGCTGTGCTGAAAATATGTCTTTCTTTACAATATTCGTAAGAACAATTTAATTTAACTTGTTCTTCATTAGTCATATTACCACATGTCAGGCATTCCAATGGTTATAGCTCTAATCGAGAACGTAATTCTATTAGGAATGTTGGAATCTGTTCAGTCATGATACCTCACTTTTGACGTGTCAGGCGATTCTCCGATGATCTGATAATGTTTTAGATTATAGACAGTTAAGGCTACCAACAACGTAAGCTAGGATTCACACGAATGATCTTCTAGAAAGGATCAAACACTGCCTGTTGCAGAGGAACCCAACCAAAAAAGACTATCTTAACGTTATTTTTATTCGGCCCCACAAGATAATGCAAGTAATGGCAGCTCCTTTAGTTTATATTTAGTGTAAGCAGGTTTAGACACCGGAATATAAAGTGTATTCCTCAAGTTAAGCGAAGGGTGATGAAATATTGATAGTTGAATTTTCACATCATGAGATAAATGAGTCTCACTTCTTACTGCTTCTCAAAAGTATTCTCATCTCGGCTGGACTAAACTGCAATTTCGATCTCGCCTGGATCTCATCAGCACCGCCAGCGGGACTCGAACCATGACAATGCAGCGTATAATCTTAACGCGTTAACCACTGCGCCACATTGCCACAAGTGCCCTTGGGTCAAAGAGATGATGTGAAGTTCATTTTCCCGTAGTTTCGTAGATCTACTTACAAACGAAAAATAATTTCCACCTCACCAACGCCACAATAAATGCGATTTAGAAGGAGCCTGGCTTGCTTTGTTTAGAAAATAAATGAGGTCAAACAATGCCTCTTTCGATTTAAGCATCAGCTCTTGGCTAATTTCTTTCACAAATAGAATATATGAAGACCAAGATGG